GTTGTTTTTCTCTGTGTGTGTGGAAACCTAGAAATGTGTTAAGGAGATGTGTGACTAAGATCTCAACAGTTCAATGTGTTTTGAAGTGAACGAACGTTAGGGTTATCCTAAGATTTAATTTGTTTTTTTGTTTTGTTTTGTAACATCTAGATTTATTGATATTATAAAGATCGTACACAGTCTTCATGAAGAAATTGGAAAAAAGATATGGGTACAGTATCATGGTAGCAAAAAGAAAGATTTGAAACTAAAGGTTGCTTGGCAAGAACATCTGCAATTCGCTTTCCAATGGATTCCTAGTCATGATTCCAACCGCTTGACCTGTTCCTTTGAACATCCCATTGGCATCGCGAAAGATCCAACCGGCTTGTGAGTGGTTTCTCCCATCGATTAACAGAAACAGATGTGGAAACAGGACGTTGAGAATTGTTGACGGTGAAATCTAGACCATATGGTGAAGCATCCAACCATTCTTTTTGTATCATTTTTTGCCGGAGTGGTGCTCTAAGATAGATTATGTTGCTGAAAGATCAAAAGATTCCTACTTTTCCATAATCTCCAAAGTGGAAGTTGTTGAAGATATAGTGTAGTAGATGCTGTGGTAAGTTGGAAAATATTTCGGATCTTTGTTTTCATCATTGCATTGGCATCAGCTAATATCCGGTTAGACAAACCATAGCCTCTCCAAATAGCTTTTGCGTACTGGCATTGAAAAAATAGATGATAAGTTGTTTCCTCTTCACTACAACATCTTTGACATAGTGAGTGTTGACTGATGTGTCGATCTCGAAGGTTGTTTCCCGTCGCAAGTGATTTAAATTGTTTTTTTTATTTTAACACATAAAACTTCATGCCATTGATGAGATAAAATTATTGTGTGTAGTCATTACAAGGTTTTGAGGAATATAGAAATACGATATGAACAGTAGAGATTGTGAAATATTCTTAGCTAATGTATCAACTACTTGGTTGCTATCTTGTGGAACCCAAACCACCTCTGTTGTGGAAACATTTTTGCCAACTTTGAATTTTATTTTTTCAATTATAGAGTCCAAAATTCTTATCATTATCATTGATCAAAGCACATACCATCTTGTTATAGCCTTAAAAAATGACTAGCCTATAACCTCGAATCCAAGCGTGTTGAGTTGCCATTTAAAGGCTTGTAACTATGCTTCAAGTAATGTTTCATATACTCGTCTCATGCTTTGATCTGGTTCAATGAAGAAACCATGTGAATCATGAATGGTCTAGGCCATTCCCGATAGAGTACCATCTTTCTTGAAACTGCAGTCATAATTGCACTTAACAAAG